ACCTTGTTGTACACCATTAGACCTTATCATTAATCATAATAAAAACTGTGCAGCGCCTACAGTTATGCCAACTTATTCATAGCTATTTACGTTCATTGTGTTTGCTTATCTCATCCATCCAGGTTAAAAATAAAAGCTCATTTAGCTTAAATACAGTGCTCCATTGCTCTTTCGCTTTCGCCCTCCGCCATCGCTTTGCAAACAGCTGTTTAGTGTTGCGCGCCTAAAAACGTTAGCACCAATAGTAATGCCATCAAAGTAATACGAATGTCATGTTTACTTTTCATCACAGCTATTTTTTTTGTTTATGCCACATTACTTTGTTATCCCCCACAGCGCACACACTTCTCGCTTTGAGCCATTGACTGCTTAGCGTTAGGAATTATTTCTGCATTATTTCGATATTTGTTGCATAAGCGTAGGCGCTAAGGCTGTATATCGCTGCCTGAACTTGAAATTTGTGGGCGGTTTGAAGGCGAAGGTCTTATTCACATCTTCTTTGATGTTTTTTTTTTTTTTGGTTTTTTGCGCATTTGTTTGCAGACGCTTTAATTCGATTTGACAGTTTGCCTTTTGTATTTTTGTACTTCTTTATTTGTGTTATATTTTTATTTTTGCTGGTATAAAATACATATAAAATAAATGATATAGTATATATACAACGACGTCAATAAACGGTAAAGCGCTACAACAATCGAACGCGGCATTGACAATATTTGCTTGCGCACAGCGCTTAATAAGCCTGTGTGCGTGTGTGTGTGGGCCGCTGCTAGTTAGTGAGTTTAGGTATGTAGTCGATGCCTACAAATCGCATATTGACATGCAATGCAGCGGTAACGAGCTACTAATGTGTATTTATGAATTTATCTGCATTTTGACTGCGCACAAATTGTATGTCGTTGTTGTTGTTCGCTTGTATGTTGCTTTGATATGACTGCTGTGGTGTGTGTGGGCTGATAGTGGTACAGTTGTTTGTTTTGTGGGTTTGTGAAAGACTTGTTTTTGCAATTTGTACTTCTCCACTTGCAAATTTGTTTAAGAAAAAAAATACTCATCACTGGCAAATAGCGGTATTTTAGTGCCGAAAATCATGAAAAGGGAATGCTTAGCCTTGAATTTGGCGATGGCATATTCTTTTTAGTTGCTGTTTAATGATTAACTTTTTGCGCTATAAAATTTATCTGATTATAATTAATAGGAAAATATAAAGCAGTTGAGTTAGAGTAACAAAATTATTGTAAAAGTGAAAATATATTTAATTTCATGGGTTATCTTTAAATAAAATTGCTATATTATATTTAATACAGCTACAAAAAATAAAAAGTTAAAAAAAATTATATTTCATTCGTTATAACATTAAATTGGTATCAATTTTTGAAGAATTACTGCTGACAAAATATGAAAATATATTTGAATTTTATTTATTCATCAAATATTTTCTACTAAAATGAAATTTTTTTTATTTCAAAAACTTTTAATTTTAAATTTTAATATACCTAATTTTCTGAATTTTACTGAGAGTACTTTGAAAAAAATTTTGATATTAGCTTTTTTATACAATAATTGCTGATTTTTACTTAGAGAACTTTGGAATTTTTTTTTATATAATTCTTCACTAAAATTTTTAGTTATTTTAAAACCTACTTTAATTATTGTAGATAAAAAATTTGAGAAAATCTTTCTTTGCTTTTAAAGTCAAATTGAAAAATATTCTTCTAGTGCAGCTTTGCTTTGTAGAAGATGAAAGCTCGCAAATCTTTAGAAAACTATCTTCAAATACAACTACTTATAGTAAATTTATATGTGTGTAGGTGTGTTTGCACCTATTTATAACTTCCATGCATTGAGTCAACTTTTCTCTGTATCGATTTCAATAGCGGTGCAAAACAAATAGCATTCAAAGCGCTTAAAGCAAAACTGACTGTTGACAGTTGATCGCTGACACTTCTCTAAGGAATACGCTGGCGCAGCTGCCACATAAAGTTGTCAATAGTAATAAAAAGGGGTTTTGGCGTGAATTGAAGGCGAAAGCCATAGCAATGGATAAGCATTGAAATGCCAACTTTATTAGCATGGCCAACACAAAGTTGTGGTTCTATATGTGTTAGTGCGCCTATTTGATGTACTAGCGAACTATTTTTAGAAAAACGATAAGAGCAGATAGATATGTTATATTGCAGGTGTATATATAGTGAAAACTCTGTTTACTATTAGCAAAGAATTAGGTGAAATTCACTAAAGTACGTGAAAAGATCAAATGAATAAAAAAAATATATTCAATTGAAAATAGCTTATAAAAAAGCTTAAAGTTATTATTTTCTCATTCTCGCCATAATAAGTAATTTAAAAGTTACTTTCAATTTCTTTGCAATATACTATTATTTTTCTACACATTTTTTTTGGATATATTTTCTCATTCATTTCATCATCCGTCTTCGTGTTGGCATGCAACAACACTGAAATTGAGTTTTCGTTATCGAATTTTACAGTCTCGCGCACTCAATCAACACATAAAACAAGCAAGCTCCTCAGAGAATACATACTGTTACATACCAATATCAACATACCTATACATATATATGTATGAACTGACAAGTACACATATTCCATACCTCAAAAAAAATTGAGGTAACAATATCTTAAAGCATTTGGAGTAAAAACACAAATCGCTAAACTCAGTAATATTTTACATATTTCAATAACGGTGAATACGAAATTTATCGCTTACTGGAAATTAATCTGTTTTCATTAGTCGCATTTACGTTTTAATTTGGTAAAAATAAATCGATAACTTCATCGTGTATCGATAATGAAATCAACAAAAAATTGTTTAACATAAATACTTAAATAAAACGTTGAAATATATTGATTTTATCCGTTGATACGAAATTTATCGATAAAAAAAATGTCTAAAAAACTGTTTTCATCGCATTTCCCGCTTTTAATTCAGCTACTTTGTTAATCAAAATCGCTAACTTGATGGTTTATCGATAATAAAATAAACGAAATTTATCGATAACAAAAATCATTAAATAGGTTTAAATAAAAGTTTTACTGAAATTTCTATTAGAATTCAAAAATTTTGTTTTCGGTATACCAGTTTTTAATGTTATTTATCGATTATTTAGAACAATTATCGATTACAGGAAAACGGGATATATAAAAAAAAAATAATGCGATTTTTCGGCTTACCAGTACAACTACAAGTAGAATTCGATTCATCGATTACTAGAAATATATATAGCTTTACTCGGTGAATTTCAAAATACAACGATATATCGATTTTTAACCAATTAAAGTTTTTATGTACTATAATCATATGCATTGCTTAGATATCCCTAAGATGCATTACAATTTTTACAAGTATGCATTAAAAATAATAATATAGAGCACATTTACTCACACCACAAGCTCTAACGCTATGCGGCTAAAATAATCCCCAGTATGCAATGGCTGTGCTAAAATTTAATTTTTACGCCCATAAAAGTATTAAAGAATTCCATTGAATTACTCACTTTGAAATATAGATAGGTATACTATTACCAGACACATCAAATGTGCGACACTAGAGACATGTTTCAAAGTATGTATGTGCTTATTTTTAATTCAATTTGCCGCCACTCTGCTCCGCCACACACATGTACATATTTACATTGAAAAGAGTATGATGTCTTTGGCGCCTTTCAAAATTGCGCATACGCCATGTAGACCACAGCGCGGTTTTCAGCGCTCAATTGATAACACATATGCATAGCTTGATTTTTTTGTTTGCTTTGAAAAGATGTGTGTGTGCGATCTGAAGCGACTTCAGCTCTTTCACCGCATACTTGGCGGTTTTTGCATTTATGCACACACATACATACATACTTATATAGTGTAAAGCTGCCTGTCGGTGATCTCTTATTCCGCTTTGTGTTTGGCTGCTTTTTGTGCCACAAAGATTCATTTGCATTGAGTATGGATGCAATTTGGAATTCGCATTTTGGAGTAGTTGGTTTATGCTCCTTAATTTATGAGTTATATGGAAGTAGTAAGAGTGAAGGTTGGTAGTTGAGAATTTTTATATATTGTACATACATATCTCGTTTCTTATAGGGTTAAGTGGGTTCTTATTGCGAGTAGTGGACTTTGAACTATTAAAGTAATTGGGTCCAGACACTTTCTACAATTTGAAAAACGAAAAGCAAATAATAAAAAAGAATGTATATAAAAAAATTATAAATTTAAAAAAAAAAATTTTAAAAGAATTTTAAAAAATTTTCATTAAAAACTTAACACACATTTTAAAGTGTATTCAAAGCGGAAGCAAAAGACCCCTTCGAAAGTATAATTCGAATTAATTAACTAAATTGAAATTAATGTATTGTATAAAAATTTTATTTAATTAAAGTAATTAAAAGTTTATGTAAACAATTTTAAGTGTTTAAAAAATGAAGTTGATAATCAAAATGAAAAAAAAAGTTATGGTGATATCCATTAAAAATATAATTTAATTTAATTAAAGTAATTAAAAATTAATGAGAAAAATTTTTAAATGTAATTAAATCAAATTTAAGCAATTAGAAATTAATTAAAAATTTTAAAATGTTAAAAAAAATTTATAAGTAAAAATATGATAGTTGCACCTAAAAATTTATTGAAAAAAATTTCAAAATTTAATTTTAATAAAGCAATTAAAAATTAGTATAAAATTATTTTAAATATATATTAAAAAAAAAAATTTATAAAACCAAAAAATATGATAATTGTCCACCAAAAAATTGTTTCAATTTATTTTTAGCAATTAAAATGCTTAATTATGCATATATATGTATACATATCATTTTATAGTTTATTAGTTATAATTTTTTTTAATATCGATAATTTTTTTGAATTATTTAGTAAATTTTTTTTTTCAATTTTAAAAAGTATGCTATAAACAAAATTTTGCCTTCAAAATTCAGCAACTCAGTAAAACCAAATTTATTATATTTTCCCTCTTTGTTTTCCTCTCTTTACAGTCTCAATCTCTATGAATTAATCAAGAAGAATAACTACAATGGTTTCAGCATGAGTTTGATCAAACGCTTCTGTAATTCTATTGTCAAATGCTTGCGTCTGCTCTACAAAGAGAACATCATACACTGTGATCTCAAACCGGTGAGTATGCGTATATTTCATTATATGTATGCATGTCTATATATACCATATTGAGATATGGTAAAACAAGTTTTCGACTAGCATAAGGGCTCTATTCGTATCACTTAAACTTTAAAATTATGTGATTCAACCAATTCTTTGCTAAGGCTGAGAATATAGTGCAGCCGAGGGAAAAATAAAGTTTGCAATAAAAGTACAGAGTTGCAGTTGCAGTTACTCTAAGCTAATTAATGCTTTACGCTTGGTGAAATGATAAAGTAAAGAAATTATTAATTACGCCACTATGTTCTCAACCTTATTTTGGCAGCCGCCAGTGTTTAACTGCATAGGAGTAAAGCATACTTTTATGCGCACATATATTTTTCTTCTCATCACGCATTTTTCTTATCTCTATATATATATTTCTTATCTCTATATATATATTTCTTATCTCTAAATATATATTTGTTACCCGCAGGAAAATATTCTGCTCAAACAACGTGGCAGTAGTTCAATAAAAGTCATCGATTTTGGCAGCTCCTGCTATGTGAGTCGTAAAATTTACACATACATACAGTCACGATTTTATCGCTCACCGGAAGTGATACTGGGATTACAGTATGGAACCGCTATAGATATGTGGAGTTTAGGTGAGTAACTCCAAAAATAATTACTGTATTTGGAAAATGGAATTTTTACTTAAAATATTAATATTTTTTTTTTGGGTTTTATAAAGAGTATTTCTAAAAAGAAAGTAAATATAGGAAATTCAATATTTTTGCAAAAAGTTTTATAATTTTCTGAAGAAATTTATTTATTAAAAGAAAAAATTATAATCATAAATTTCAAACATATGCATCAAAATAGAGCAACTTTTCTTTAAAAATCGCAATTTGCAATAGGAAAGTAAATTAATTTTTTTCTGTATATGTACATTGTTTTTTTATTTTTTTTTTACCTGCACCAACTCATTTCTCTCCATCTACACATCTGTCAGGAAAATGTTGACACAGAAACGCGTTAAAATAAAATGCATATGCACATTTTCCACTTTCGCTAATGGCATTTATGTGGGTGAGCAAAAAAAAAATGTTTTTAATATACATAAATACAGTTGCAGCGAGCAGTTACATATTGAGAAATGAGAAACCGACCTGAATGCATATCAAATCAAAGGTGTTGCAAGGTGCAAATGGAAGGTTGTATGCTGAATATACACACATACGTACAATTTTGATTACATGTATGTTTGTGTAGCGATGCCATTATGCACTCACACGCACGCACGCCTTCAGCTGCATTCAATGGCTGCAAGGATAAGTGCATTCTACACACTACACACAAATATATATATCAAAAATAAATAAATATAAACACTTGCACAGCGAGAGGTGCTCATGCATGAGAAAATTGCATTGACAAATGTTTTTTCACATGAGTGTTGGATGGTAGATTTATATTTTACCTTGATATGGTTGATATTACAGAAATAATTTACGGAACTATGAGAAAAAAATAAAAATTATTTTAGAAGAAGTAAATGCAAATGCAGCTATAAACTAACTGTAATGGGTTAAAGCCTTTGCTTTCACCATCCCTAGTTGCCTCAGTATATTAATGTACTAAAGAAAAAATTAATTTCTTTACGCTTTACGCTTAAAAACTGCTTAAATAGTTTATTTTGTGTAAAAACGCTATTTTTTTTTCTGTGTTTCCACAAAGAGTTTTTCAAACGAAAACGTTGAAATATGGAGAAATTACTTCGTAAATATAAAAAACTAGTTTGTAACTAGTTCGAAAAAAATTTTGGTTCAGAAATACTAAGTTTTGATTAAGCCGTAAAATGTAGTTTTAGAAAAACTAGTTTGCAACTAGTCCGAAAAAAATAGTTTCACAAAAATCAGTTTGTTACTAGTTCGAAAAAATTTGGTATCGCAAAAATTAGCTTTCGGCTCCTCCGAAAAGAAAAAGTTTCACTTATATTATTTTGTCACACGTTGACCGTAAGTACAGTTTGTTAGCTTTGCATAACTAATTTAGTATGAACTAGTTTCAAAATACGCTGAAAATTATAATTTTTCTACTTTTACGACCAGTTTTGTTTGTCACTAGTTGACCGAAAGTACTTTTCTTTCAGATGATGTTTATTTGTAAACATAATTTGATGACATTTCTGGTTAACTAGTCCGAAAGAAGTAGTTTCGCAAAAACTAGTTTGTAACTTTTCCGAAAATAAATAGTTTCAAGTAAGGTATTTTGTCACAAGTTTTACATTACCACTTTTCATAACTAGTTTGAAGTAAACTAGTTTGATACTAATCTTAATTTTTTTTTTTATTTTTCAACTAGTATGACAAGAATTTGTGTGTCACTAGTTGACTGAAAGTTTGTTTCGGCTAGTTTGAAATGATGCTCTGTGTGCACATTATAGCACAATGATGTCTTTGTATAACTAGTCCAAAAAAACTTTGTTTCAAAAAAATTAGTTTGTGACTGACACCGAAAGAAATAGTAGCACATGAAGTATTTTGCCACAGGTAGAGCGTTGTGCACATTTTGTTAATTTTTCAGAACTATTAGTTTGCATATAGTTATTGGATAACTTGGAATGAACTATTGTAGTTCGAAAATACGCTGAAAATGATTATTTTTCAACGAGTACAGAAAGGATTTGTATGTTATTAGTTGATTTAAAGTACTTTCGGCTAGTGTGCGATATGTATATATGTAGTTTAACCACATTAATGGATAACTAATTCTATGGAAACTAGTTTGTAACTAGTCTTTTGTTTTTAAATACTACGGAAAGAGCAAAATATTTTAATATTTATTCTAGTATAAGCACTTTTTTTAAGTTTTTCCAAAAATTACCGCTAACCTCCAAAAATTAAGCTCCAAAAATCCATTTAAAACAATCTGCATTACTTGTCCTTGCACCTATCTTTGTTCAATATATCATCACTTTTCATCCAACATGCACATACAGACACAAGCATAATTTCATTTATAACACAAAATGATGCTAATCTCGACAGCGGAGCGCAAAATGTCCTTTCAAAATACAAGACGTGAGTTTCACCTCATTTTGACCGCAAAGTGATAAATTACAATGGATGACAGACAATTTGTAAGAACGCCATTGAAAAAAGCAACAACAATGAAGTTGTGAATTAAGCAACTGCAAGTGAAGCCTTGAGCTTATAACACAACAACAACTAAACAGACAACCCAATAAAGTGCTGTAAATTAAGGTGTAGAGCATAATGAGGATGTCACTCTAAATTAGAAGATATTTTTTGGCGGAGTAGAGAGAGAGGAGTCGAGAGGGTAGCGTAGAGAGTGTGGTGTAGAGAGATGAAAGCATAGGAGCAGCAAATGTGTGTATAACAAGTACACTACAGTTACATCTGCGTAAAGTGGAATATTTTGTGATCAGCGGTTTGGCAGGCGATTGCAAAGCAATACATCGTCGCTGACAAATCAATTAAAATTTTAAATATACGGAGAAAGTTTGTGAGTTATTGATTTTAGGTACAAAGCTGCAAGATAATCACAAATTTGTTTAATAAAAGTTTAATAAAAAGTTTAAATTAAATTTAAGTATAATAAAAAATATCAAATTGATGGTGCAAAAGAGAGTACTTATGTATATTTGTTCGATAGTAAGCACCTGCCAAGCTCATTTTTGAGACGAAAAAAATACGCAAAAAATGCAAAAGTCATTCAGAACCGGCTGAATACTAGTTGGACATAACTTAAAGTTTTTCTGTCTGTCCGTATATACGCGAATACGATATTGATCTGAAATTCTGCACACATCTTTTTTCGCGCAAGAAGCTGCTTATTTGTTGGAACCAGCGATATAGGACCACTATACCCACTATATTTTTAAAAAAATATTGCAAAAAAAAATATTTAAAAAAATTTTGATAGTCATATGTTATGTTAACTCCTACAGGCAATTCAGAAAATTTCCCCGCTTTGATTAGATTGCGCGAAAATTGCTATTAAAGTGATTTAAACTGGTTTAATTTAGTCGTTTTTATATATATTTGTAACTATAAGTTTGTGTGTGTCGCTTTGTTAAATATTTTCAAACTACTATAGCCACTTCAACATCAACAAATCAGACTATTGAATTACTTTCATTCAGAAAAAAAAAACTTCTTTCACACTCCTTCAATTTAACGTCTAAAGTTACACACACACATATAAATACAAGCAACACCACTACAATTAAAGAGTCAGCCATTCAAAGTTATAAGCATGCCATCACTTCCACTTTCAACCACACTTCCACCTTACATAGTTTGTACAATTGTTTTTCCTTTCAATTGTTGCCAACACGCACTTTAACAATTTGAAATTCCTGTAAAATACATTGCAAATGGAGAATATGTTGTGTGGCGATAAGGAGTAGCTGTTGAAAGTTGCTAAAAATCAAGTGCAACAAGTGGAAGAAATAAATAAAGCAAACACTCTCAATAATCAAAGCAAACATTTATGGCCGCATTTAAACTGCTCAAGGTATGCCTTTAAAGCCAAGTCATTTAAATATCTCTGATAACGGTAATGTATAGACAATTTCCTGCAACCCTTCCTATCTAGCCTTCATTACATCCTTCCGTGGCTTCCTACCATAGACACATACCTTCCGCGTACTTTCCGTTTGCCATTAATACCCATTCGGTTGCAAGACTATAGGCAGGTATATGTATGTGTGCATTTAAAACAATGCGGCTTGACTGCGATCAAAGCGCAATAGAAGGCGTTTCTCAAAGCGTATCCGTGCAATTTTCATATCGCACTTGCAAACCTCACCCAGTCAGCGGTCTTACAGATAAGTGATTGCTTCTGTGCATATGTATGCATGTGCCGCAAGGTGCTGCGCTGTTTCTTTTCTATGCTGACTTCTTGAATGTGTGTGTGAATAGTTGCTTCGGTGCGCTTGCAGGAAGCGAAAACTATGTTCGAAGTGAAATCAATGAAAGTAAACACTGATTTTATGGTTTCTCACGCAAATGGAGGGATAAGGGTGGGAGCAGGAAATAGCAAAATAAAGTTAGTGGCGTTGATTAAAATATTTGCTTGGGAAATTTCGCAGTTTGAAGTTGATTACGGCCGCATAACGTGCAGTGTTTCTTATTAAATTAACTTAGTTCTTCTTCTTACAGATTAAATTATTTGAAAGGACTTATTCTCTTTCAGTTGGCAAAGTTCTAAAAGCGTTATATGACACTGGATGTAGGCCATAGAGTAGTTTCATCAGTTGTTGGTGTGTCTCTCTAATGAGTTTTGCAAAAAAAAACTAAAATATTACAGAAGTTAGTTAACATCCTGAATTAGTTACTAAGTAGTGATCAATTATATGAAAAATATGATTATAAAATCCAATAGTTCAAACATTTAGATCAATCTAGTTATTATACAAATTTTTTACAAACTAGTTACCAACTAGTTTCCAACTAGATTAAATTAGACCAACTAGAGTAAAATGGGATAAAGTATGTGGCCGTGCTTTATTAAAAAAATTATTGACAAACTAGTTAACAACTGGTTACTAACTAGTTACAGTAGGACCAGTCAGACAAAACGACATAAAACTATGTATAAGTTATTTACAAAAAAATTTTTTGGATTTTTCTCAATATTAAAAACTTGTTCAAAGAAACACCAACTATTACAATCTCTTGACATTACTTCATGTCTAATTAAATTTACTTTTGCTTTTCGACCCATTCTTTAATGTCCTAATCAAATCACAAGGCTGCCATTGAATTTAACTAAAAATAGCTGCCGAATGTCCTTCGTACTTTCAAAACAAATATTTTCCATTAGCCAAATTGAAAGAAAATTTTCAATCGACCAGCTCTAAGTGTGCATAAACCTTTTTTTATACCCGAGATGAACAATTGAAATTAGAAACTAAAAGCTTTTAAGCGCTGCTGGATATAAATATTGCTACTTATGTAATATGCATATGTACAAGTATGTGTCTACGAAAATGATTTTTGGTATTGGCCTTGCCATCCGAAATCAGCAGCAGACAACTGCCAGTGTTGCCAAAAAGTTTGTTTTTTTGCTGCACACAATGCAAATTTCGAATAAAAAAATCGAAAATGGATATCTATACAAAACTTTGCATGCCAAAATTTTGATGGAGAGCAACGGCATCTCGCTTACTTAAGCAGACACAAAAAGAATGTGAGATGGCATTGTGTGTGTGACGTGCAGTTATCATTTGAGATGCACACACAAGCTATGAAATTCACAAATACTTACATAAAACCCGATTATTACATATTACTGTTATTGTTGGTGCAACTGACAATAATTTGGCAGGGATTTTGAAATTGTAATGCGTTCAAATTGGCTCAATAAGTATGGTAGCGAGGAGGTATACTTTAAGATAGTGATGTTGTAGAACTTTTTGAAATCAAACTAGAGCTACGGATTTCAACTAAGTTCTACTGAAAAATGTTTTTGATTGAAATCGTATAAATAAACAGCTATCCACCCACAAAAAGTAGTCTACAAAGATACCTTATATGTAGCTAAGTTGCAAATGAAAGTTGTTCATACGCCCCGCCAACCTGCGCCCTTGCAAATCATATATATTTGTATGCCGCAATATATGTTTAGTACCAGCCCACTGTCGCATACCAACGATTGATTACATCTCACAATGCACCAAATTCTGTGGCAGTATTGACCATTTTGTGGCATCCACACAACATTCAAAGTCAAGGTCAGCTAAGCACACTTTTGGTATTTTACGGCATTGATTTAGCTCGTATACAACTAGATCAGCTAGAGCTAATAAATACTGATATATGAAGACAGGCTTGCATAATTGCAACTGCAATATTTCGCTTCATTGTTTGTCCTTTTGTGAATACTGGCCATTTTAGGCACCCGTTGTCTGCTTAGACCGAGCTGCAGAAGCTTGCCCTTGCAATTTACCAGGCCAATGCAGTGTAGCGTTGTTTGACAAGGCAAATTATCAAAGGTCAAATGGCATTCATACAACAAAAGAGGGAGGGGAGTGTATTGAAAAGATTGTAAAATGTAAGAAAGAAGGTTGTAGTTGCAGCTTCAGTGGTCAAGTGCAGCTGTCGACCACTTGAAAGTAGAAAAAGTAATAGCATCAGGCATTTTAGAGAAAATAAATGCGAAATCGAAGAAACAAAAATAAAAAAATTAAAGAAAAAAAATGTGGCTCTCCTACTTAGCTTCTAAGAAACTTTTGCCTTAATTAAGAATATACATATTTTTTTTCAAATAATGATTATTAATACTTTTTGCTTTTAATTTATTTTATTATACTCTTGTTATATTAATAATTATTATTTGAATAATAAAAATAGAAATATATTAAAACAATTAAAAAAAAATTTATAATAAATATGTGAGAAGAAAAAAATAACAAAAAATAAATTACAATATTTTTAATTTTTTTTTTAAATTTATTTTTGTTATTATAATTTTTAATGCATTAAGTTTTCTTTATTAAAAAATATTAAAAATTATTTAGTTTCCAGAGTCACAAAACTTAAAAAAATATATTTTTTTTATATTAAATTAAAAATTTTTAGTTTAAAAAATTTAAGATAAAAAAAGATATAGAAAAATATTAAAATTTAATTTTCTTATTGTAAATCCGAAAAAGATACAAATTTTCTTAATTTTAAGAAAAATATTAATTTAAGCTTTATAAACCATGAAATTAAAACACAAAACTATTTTTTTAACTTATTCGCCACTTAACAATTTTTTATGCAATTCTCTTTCAGGCTGTATCCTAGCCGAGCTCTACACCGGCTTCCCGCTCTTCCCCGGTGAGAATGAAGTCGAACAGTTGGCCTGCATCATGGAAGTGCTCGGTCTGCCACCGAAAGAACTCATCGCCAACGCCACCCGACGCCGTTTGTTCTTCGATTCGCGCGGCGCACCACGCTGCACTACAAACTCCAAGGGACGCAAACGTTTGCCCGGCGGCAAATCAATCTCACAGATGCTCTACTGCCAAGATCGTAATTTCATCAATTTCCTGCAACGTTGTCTCGAATGGGATCCCGCGGAGCGTATGACACCCGAAGAAGCTGCACACCACGAATTCCTGCAACCCACCGCCTCCAGTCGTCATCGCAGCTGTCGCATGACAAACTCTTCATCCACAGGCGGTCTCAATAATAGCTCATCACAAAAATCATCCTGCTACAGTTTCACCGAAGTCTCACCACCCTCAAACGCCACAGCCAGCAACACGACTGGCGGTGGCAGTGGTAACGGCGGCGCTGTGGTGGCATCCATCACCAGCACCACAGCGGTCAGCAACGCGGCCATCACCACAACAACGAGCAAGGCGACTACGACGACACAATCGCGTAGCAGCGATCTTACACAGCATGCGCACCACGCCAGCTCCTCCGGTCATCTGCCCGACATCAAGCTCAGCGCCAGCGACAAATACAGCAACATGCAGAAGATGGCCGTGCGCTCGAAGATTACGTCGTCGGTGTCTGATTTGGACTCAGTGCCGCAATATGCCTTGCAGCGCAGCATCTACGGCGCCAGTGGGCTGACGCACAGTGGCACAGCAGCGCGTAAGCATCTCATTACAAGTGGCACCATCGCCACCAGCTCCAGCAAGTATGGCTTGGGACTGGGCGTAGGCAGCGGCGGCGAAAAGCATCAGAGCATAACGCTGGGCAATGTGTCGTCGCATTACGGCGGTCGCGAAAAGCATCAGAGCATAACGCTGGGCAATGCGTCGTCGCATCACGGCGGCGGCGAAAAGGATCAGAGCATAACGCTGGGCAGCGGTGGTGGCGCCAATAGCAACATGTCACACTCACAGTCGACGGGCGACGTGTCGGCGATCTTCGGACGTGCTTGACTTCGCGCGCGACCCACAAAACTTGAGCTCAAAAAATGCAAACTAGTCAATATGGTGGATTTTTGGAGCTAGAAGTGGAAGTAAGCGGCGCCAACGGCGTCAAGTGCTTGGAGGGAGACGCGTATGTGGTGGACTTGCAGTGCACGAAAAGGAGTTAAGAATTACTATAATTGTGACTAGTAGGTTTGTGTGTATATGTGTGCGCGCTGCTGTTTGATTGCTCAAACGCTCGGGCACACGGTTTTTGTCAGGCGCAACGCTGCATATGCCTCATTATGAGCACACACAAATATATATTATATAGAATTTAAACTGAATTTTGAGTAAAATAATTATGACTTGTGTGCATATTGCCAGACTTAAGTTTACATAGATTGTTAGATAGGCGTGGAAAGGTGTTTAGAAAGGAGTTTGAAGCCAAAAAACTTTTAAATGAATTAGAATTTTATTTATCGAAGAAAATTATGAAAAATTTTTTTCCAAGCTATAATTCTTTTTAAAAAAAAATAAATTAGAAAAAACGCTTTACAATCTTATAAAAAAGCTACAACTTCAAAAAAGCGCTAAAATTATATTCTTAAGTTCTTTAAAAAATTTTTTTAAACTTTTTCAAATGTAATTCTTTTAAAATTCAAATATATGTGTTTTTTTTTAGGTAATATTTTTAAATTGCTATACTTTTCAAAATTAAACAAAAAACTTAAACTAATAAAAATTAAAAAAAAAAAATATTGAAAATTATTTTATTTCTTATTTTACGTACGAAAAAAATGTAAGAAAGTTATATGCGATTAAAATCAAATTACGTATGAAAAAATGTAAAAAAAAATTTTTATTTTAGAACAAAATTAATTTTTCGAACAACTTTCTCTGCTCCTTTCCTCGTCTATTTGACGATAGTTTTTACAATAAAAAAAATGTACGTGCACACTTCAGCCTATATAATTCGAAGATATGTATGTTTGTATTTGTATGAGTGTATTTGAAGGAATCTTAATTACATCTATGTATGTATAATAATTATAATTAGTGTATGTAGTTGTGGTAAGTTGCGAATATAGTAAACCATAGTAGTTAGCATGTGAGTTACAATGAAATATAAACGAAAAATGGAGTGAAGAAAAATAACAAATGGCTCAGTCTATAAACAAAAAAATATAACTTTAATTATTAATAAGCAAAAATAAATAAAGAAAATATAAAATTAAGAAATTTTAACGGAAAAAAATTAAAACAATAAGCTTAAGATTATAAAATTGTGACAACAAATTCTAGTACGTAAAAATAATATTGACAAAAAATTACAACAACATATAAGAATTTTTTGCGAAATAGTAAAAACAATGAAATAAAAATATTTTACTAAACACATATAAAATAAGTAAAAAAGCATTAATATACATATATGCTAACAAATAACAAAAAAAAAAAAACTGTATGAGAGTAGAGATTTGTGTATGCCGCATGCAACGTAATGTTGCCGCAAATTAATTGTATATAATTCAAAGGGTTTTTAGTAATAATTTTAATGCAAGTGCATAAAGAAAATGTAAACGCAGTTTTTGGGCGAGTATTTAGATAAGAAACATATAGAAAAATAAATAAAAATCTCGGCATAAAACGAAAATCTTCCATATTTTTAGTTTCACTGCTTTTAGTAAATTTTTACATAAACTGCCTTTGATTATATGTAAATAAGTACAATGATATGCCACTAAATACACACATGCTGTCACATAAATGCGTCAAGCATACAATAAAACTAGTTATAAAACAAGTATAAAGTTAAAGAAATATCATTGCATGCATCACAAACTATTCTAGAAGCATATCCAGTAAAGCGTTGGCATATTTTGTAAGAAAGAACAACAAACACTGCTGAAAAACTACATTTCCTGTTTAGAAAAATACTTTTAGGCATAAATACATTTTTTTGGTTTAGTAAATAATACTAAATTTTAGTGTAATAAAAAATTAATTACTTAAAAAATAAAATTTTAGTTGACAAAAAAATATTTTCGCCAAAAAAACATTTTTTAACTAATATTTTTTTATATTATTAGTTTAACATTAATAAAATTAAATTTTTTCAAACCATAACATTAGTTTTAAATTCTTTTTATATGAACATTTCAAGCCTTTATCGCTGCTTAAACAGAAAATTTTTTTTAAAATAATTTTTTCAATATTTTTTTTATAATTTTTTTATTTTTATTTTAATTTTTTAATTATTTTTTTTTAATTTTTTTTATTTTTTTTTTAATTGTTTTATTTTTTTTTTAATTTTTAAAACGTTTTTATTTATTTTTTTTAATTTTCAATAAATTTAGTTTATTAAATTTTTTGTTCCTAATACAATTGTCGCTTATATAAATAATTTTAAATATTTTAGTTTCATAAAATTTATATTTTTAAAAATATTTTTTTCAACAATTTTTACCACCCTGTATATTGCTCCAATGCGCCACATTTTGCTCAATCATGCCAATATTTTTCACACATCTGTGACTTGTACATTTGCAGCAGCGCCATAAAACTACATGCTTTTCTGTCTATTGTTCAAACATTTGTTTTATTTTCACCTTATATACCGTTAGTTAAAAAATATCTAGCCCATTTTCGCCAATAATATTTATATAATTTTAAATATGTCACTACGTGTTCGAATTTATCAACTTTAGCTAATGGAAAATAAACATACATAAATACAACTGCATCAAATATTATTAAGCAAATAAATATATACGAAGAATGATTTTGTGAATTAGTATGTTTACAACAACAATTATGTAAATTACTTTTAAGCATATATTCAGATTTGCGTCAGTGTAATGTAAAATATATGAATTAAATGTTATATGTAGATACATACATACATGTGAATATAACTACTCCTGCATACGCGTGCATTGTATGTGTGCGTGTGTATATGTATGCAAACAAATTAATTATTCAATTTACACAATAAACATAATCGAATGAATTTATTAAAATATAAAAAAAAATAATAATAAATAAATATACACAATTGTGTTTTCATTTGGTTAGGTTTTATTTATTTATTTTATTATTTTGAATACAGAAAGTTACTCTCTGCGCTCAACTATCTTTCGTAGATATCAAAGACGTGATAAAAATTGAGTGCTTAGTGCGCTATGCGGCATAAATTTCTCACACATGTAGGAAATATTCTTTCTTCAAAAGCGTTAATAAAAAATAAGCCTAAAAATTAATTTATTGTTGCAGGAGACAACAAAAGGTTCTTTATTAGAAAAAAATAATAATAAAATATTTATAATATTTTTTTGTAAAAAAATTCTTGGCTGTTAAAGGGTTAATATTGCTAAACATATAATTTCTATAGCATACTTTCAGGCACCTATATGCCTATACATTAAATAAACATAATATCTCGAAAAGGAGTAAGCAAATGTTGCCTACCTTTAGGCGTAAATAATTCAAAATGCACAGTGAAGTCAGAAATATATATAGCACAGAATTGACTAACGAGTTTCTGAACGCATTAAAATTATAAATACGCCAAGCATTTTTTGGTTAAAATTTTGTTCATTTTGGCATTAAACTATTTTTAGGGATAATAATTAAACTAAAACTGTGTAATTTTAAGCGTTTTCCCCGGCATATATAATTTACAATTTAGAAAAAATTCTTGTTTTTTTTTGTTTTACAACTTCAAAAACTATAAAAACGTTTTCAAAACTCGCAAAACATACAATTAATGGAATGATATTTGGTATTCGGCGCTACGTAAATTAATATTTGATGCGATTTTGGGCATTTCCAAAGTATATTCTCTAGTTTGTAACTACAAAAATATTTTTCTTTTACCGCACACTATTTCTGTTTCTTCAGAACAACTTTACAAAGTTTAAAGACGCTTTTTTGACTCTTGTAAAACAAACTTTTATATCCAAAAAATTGAGATTTGTATAAAGTGTAATTTAATAAATAATATATATTTAATAAACAGTATAACACAAATTTTGTATGCAGTAAAGTTCTATATACACACATATATGCAAGTAAGAGTTATTAGGCTACTGAATGGAGTTTAGACTTTTCTCAACCATTAAAGAGTTTCTTACAATAAATTAGGAGTACATAATAATTATGTGAACTTAACCACCAGATAGAGTTATATAGTTAATAGACATGCAAAGGATAATAAAATAGAAGAACAAAATAGAAAAATATGCTAAATATTAAAAAAAATATAAAATATATTCATATGTATTAAAGAGAGAATCGGTGTAAGTGAACCAAATTAGCACGAAAGTTGTTAAAATAATAAACGAAGATATGATAAGATAATCAATTTGATGGCGTAAATGAGAAATATAACATGATAACAAAATATTGCGTCAAGGCCACTGTATTTACAAAAAAATGAAAATATAATAAGAAAGAAACATAATCATGAATAAAAATATATAATAAAAATATGGAAAATAATAATAAATTTTAAATAAAATAATAAAAATAAGGAAAATATTAATTAATTTTAAAATTAAAAAATAAGATATTTGAATTAAGTGCACATATGTATAGGTATTTGTATGAATATACAATATATTTCAAATTACAATAAGTAGTACTTTTAACATAATCTGAAAATTATTATAAAAATATATATTGTATGTAAATAGAAATAGTAATTAGTATAGTAGAAAATAGTACAAGAAAATACAGAGAGAATATAATGAATTTAATTTCCAAAAGACAAGTAACAGATATAGTACCACCTTACTGTTAACATGCCAGTACTGTAAGAATTACATAGATATCGAATGCCGCAAAGTTTGTAACCATCGGAGACCACACAAAGTTTTTACCTATATACAGTGAACCACAAAACTTGTACAGAGAGATGTTTTGAATTTGAAGTGACTTTTTTGTTAAACTATACAGTAACAGTATGTGAAACTTATGTTTTTTGCGTTTTTTATAAAATTTTAATACGAAAAAAATTTTGGTCTCTTTTGAGCAGCTAAAGAAAAAAAACGTGTATACTGACGTTGGCAGCACTTTAAATGCAGTTATCTAGCAGATACCGTTATTTTTATCTGCTATTATTTGCGCAACATATGCTCAAACTCTATTATGATATCTGATAAGCGCATTTCTTTTGGGCGTTTGTAGTTTATGAAGCAAAAATGCTGAACAAACAAACAACTCAAGATTTACGAGGTCTGTCAAGAGAATAAAGTACTCGCGAAATAGGCAAAATTGTAAAAAAAACATACCATTGGTACTTTAGGACTAAATTCAAGATGACTGCTGAAGTTGGAAAACTTGAAAGGGGATGCCAAAAAAAGTGTGCTTTGTTCAGGATAACAACTCACAGTATTCTGATTTAGTGGTTAAGGAATGGTGGTTGTACAACGTCAAAAAATGCAACCGCATGTTCCTCAGAGTCTAGATATCGACCCAATTGAGCGCGTGCGGGCATATATGAAGGCGAAGTTACGAGAGCGCAAAGTTATTAGCAAAAATGAGGTTAAGGCTGCTCTTCAGGAAGTATTCTCAATATAGATACTGAGTTTATACAAAATTTTCTGCATTCTATGAATAAAATATTACAAACCATGATAGGGGCCAAAGGTGCACTAAGTATTAATTTTTCATAAAGAATGTTGTAATGTCAATGGTTGTAAACTGCACAAGTTTATTTTTTGTTGGTCAACGAAAACGGTGTCATTTTGGATTTTTAAACTTTTTGGAGAAAACTGGATTCTTCAAAATAAATTTCGATTACTTTAGAAGTTAAGTTACTTCAAAGACAACAACATTTTCTTTTACAATTTGTTTTTTGGTTCACTGTAAAAGATTAGCGTGACCAGCTGAGTCGATTTAACCATCTGTTCGTATACCATAAATGTATATATAATAAAAAGTTTTTCAGTTCTTCGAAAAGTTTTTCATATATTGATACCGGGATAACGGGCTACTATATGATATATTTGTCATACAAACTGATCAATCAGAACGTAGTCCTGATAGTATAGAAAACTTTTATTTTTGTTAATATATCTTTACGAAATTCCGCATAAATTATTATGGAAGGACAAGGTAACAACCCCTGAAAATATTACTTAGATCCGACCTCTATAGCATTTAGCTGTCATACAAACTGACCGATCAAAATCAAGATAAAGATCTTTTTGTACCCTTTCCTGCTATAAGAAATGCAGCTGTAAATGGTATTATATCTTCGGTGTTGCCAAAGTTAAATATTTTTCTTATTTTTTTTTTTTTTTTTTTTTTTAATAAAGAACTATAGAATCGAAACTGTTGCATTAAAAATATTCTGAAGAAGATTAAGTAGTCGCCCATTATGCATTATTAAAAGTGCATAACTTTATATTCAATACGGAATACCAGTAATTGATAATTTATGTTGTTTTTCCAAAAATAATGCCTATTTTTTTATTTTTTAATTAAAAATTTCTAGTTGACTTCAGCTTCTTGAATTTTCCTTTGATTGACTGAATACTATTTTTATTTAGCCTAAAGAGATGTATGTTATTTAGAATAATCGACAGCAGTTTACCAATGGAAAAAATAACCAGTTGTCTCGACCCAAACCACTGTAAAGTTTTATTTTTGTCGAAGTACAAAATGACTTTTTTATTCCAATCTATTTAATATAAGCTCAGTGGCTATTTCGCATATAAATATAAATATTTTTTTCAATCCAAAATATTGTCTGTTAAGAAAAAGCGATAGTCTCCAGTACACAGGAGCGGCTTTTCTGCATTGGAAAAATTATATTTTATTTTTTACGAAACGTTTTAATCTCCTGACATAACTTAATTCCAGAGAAAGCCCAGAAGTATCTCCATTTTAATTAAAAAATTTTTTTTTCACAAAAATCTCTCTTTCCGTTCTATCTTATACGCGATTTGCTAGTTTCTTTTATACACATTTATTTATATATATTTTTTTTCATTTCGCCATGGTTTTTTTATAAAATATTTAGGTATCTAAGCAGAATACCATAAATCTGTATTACTTAAAAATATATTTGATTTACAGTGTTTCAGTAAACACTTCGAAAGCAACTTCATCGACAGCATTCCATGAATTTGGAGTACAGTCAAAGAGAGCATATATTTCTAGTAAAACTCTCTGGTAGAGCATATTAACAATAGTTTTTAGCTAAAGGGTTAGAATATAGGTTATGTAGAACAGTAGTGAAGCTTGTCAAATATATTGTAGACACTTTATGCTCTTACCAACATTTCTTTTCCACATGCTGTAAACAATTAACTCTCTCTCTCTCTCTCTCTCCGTGCAAACAATATACATTTTGTAAATATACTTTTATGTGTGTAAATAGACTAGCCTTAGCACTATATATAAATCTTTTTTACAAATTATCTAAATAATGTGATCGATATATGGACTTAAAGACAGCTAATGAAGCATATGTATAATCTAAACTTTATTAATATAATTTTAAATATGTACTTATGTAATTATAGTTATGTAATAAATGTGTATGTATTTGTTAGTACTAAGTATCTCTGAATCTGCGTTATCAAAGAAATAACATATTATATATGTAGAATTTGCTAGGCATGAAAATATTTAGGTGAAATAGTAATGTAATGTATAAAGTAGTAATTACACAATATGAAATGAATACAATAAATATTTAAGCATATAAAATTAATTATAGCAAACTTTTTCAAATTTCATAGTTAAACTGTATACTCAATATTTAATCAATATGCAAGATTTTCAATTCTCACAATATAAAGAATTTACAACTATTTGAAACTATAAAAAAAAAAACAATAATGACTGGTACTCAATTGACTTATGTAATCAAAGCTAAATAAATACCATAGCAAAAACATATGTATTTTGAAAGTATGCAATAAAGACCTAATAATGCTTGTACTCGAGTGAAAATGCTTTTTTGAAACTGTGAAGGAGTTTTGAAACGAATTTGATTGCTTATTTAAACAAAAACTCAATGACAGCTGTGAATTTGTTTAAGCGTCAGTGTTGACTAATCAATTTGACGAAATTTCGAATGGCTGATACTGGCCTTAATGTGGTAAAAGCCACGCAATCAAGGCGCTGACTGTATAATTAATCAGTTTAAATTATGAAAATGAGACAACAGTGGCTTCAGCATGCATAAGGGCTGATCTCTAAAACCAATATAATCAAATCAATATAATATTTTGCTTTTTCCAACCACTAAACAAATGTTGCTTTAAAAAGTTTAATTGCAATTAGCGCTTAATTTTGATTCAATTAAGCACACTCGATTAATACCAACTACAAGTGCCAAAACTTGAATAAAAACCACAAAAATCTGCAAATCATAATTTATAACTAATTTATTACATAATCTTTGTTCAGCTGAGGTAGTCAACGGTTAGCTGTCCAATTCAAGAGCGCGAAAGCTCGCAATAAAACATTGCAGCAAAAGTGAATCCATCAAATTGTCAAGCCAAATTATTGATTTATTTGCATTTAGCATAAACTTTTGTGATTTTATTAACTATTAGATGGCATTCTGCAAGGCCAATTGTCCGTTTAACGTTTATGATTAGCAAAAATGTATACAAATGATGCGCAAATGAGTTAACACTCATAAAACGTTAATTTAATTGGCACGCAATTAAATAATTATTCAAAAATTTTGCAAATTACACAAAAATGATATTGGAAAAAGTTTTGTAAGTAGTAAAATGCGATAAGTGTCATTTTATTAATAACCAACAACCAGTAGTAATACCATGTACACATAAGTTATCATTAATTTTAGTAATATAAATTTGTAAAGTAATTAAATATAGTGCGTAGTAATTGAAGTGAGGCGAACAAGTATAATGTTTGAAATTACAATAATAAACCGAAAATTGTATATGTAAATATTGTGCGTGTTGTTATTTTTGGAAGTTTTGCAGTTGGTGAGCATTTAGTGTCAATATAATGCTTAAGTCCTTCAATACTTGTCTCAGCACAAACAAAATCTTCAAAGTCTTCTTTTATGCTAAGCAAAGTTTTATAAACTTAAGGAATTGCGGATTGCACACACACAAAATCAATTGGTCCAATGCTAAAATGCAAAACACCAATCGAGATCCAACTGTGTACCATTCCAATGTGAGCGGAGCAAGTCTGCCCCTTCTAGCTAGCTCGTCGGCTTTCCAGTTGCCAGTGATACCGCTGTGATCATACACCCAAACAATACTGATGCCACAAAAAGAAGTTCGTATGGGTGGCATAGGAGGCTATTAAATACGGCCAAACTCTTAATTCGAAACAGAAGTGGCTAGCTTTGGCCAAAAGGAGACGAATTGTGTTCCAGCAGCACAACGTCTGGCCACACATCGAAAGTGATTCTTATGCATTCAACTAACAGTGGTTTTACTGTTGAAAAATTCAACTCAAGAGAAGCAAATGAAAATCGACTATCCTAGTTTTTTGCCAATCGGCACGAGGGTTTCTACTAGAACTTTATTAAAATTGCCTTGCCATCTTAAAATCTTTGCTTGTGAGCTATCGGCAATATACACTACTATTATCGTTTCCACTATCTCTCTGCTCTACCGCTAGAGTGCAGCGAGAGTACATGCAATATGTATGTTGTACTAAGTAGAAATTCAAATGAATTTATGTGAACTTTTCAATTAAATTGCTTACACCTTAAGCATTCTAAGAATTTATATAATTATCGAGTGTTGAGAACTCATCAAGCACTGATTATCAGCAGTCCAAGCAACAATAACAATAACATTAAAGCAACTTATTTCAGCGCTCAAAAGCAGAGCTGCTGTGCATCTCGTTTAGTCAATCTGTTAGTTTGTTTTCCGGTTTCATTCGCACAACTTACACATATTTATTTGGGTTTATGTATGTGTAGATTTGTGTGTGTGTGTGACGATACTGTGACATCTGTAGTTGAGCGGCCGCGTCAAAGCGGTCAACATAAACTGTTATTCGCGGTTGCCCGTGACTTTAACGGCTACTTTTGTTGTTATTGTTGTGGTGACCGCTGTCGGATAGGTGAAAGTCTACCCCGCCAGTCGCGGTGGCTATTTAACGCCTTGGAATATGGTTTTTCATGTGGTTGTTTTTGCTTTTTTGTATTTGTTGTTGTGTACGTCGTATATGCATATTTTGACTTCCATATTTTCTTCTGCCTTCATCCATTTATGCGCATTTTTTTTTGTGTATAATATTTACTTCTTTTCATATTTTATTTTCATAAATTTCAGCGTTCCTTTGGTAGTTTCTTTCTCTGCTTTCTTTGTGGTTCTTGGTACTCTGTGTGGTTTTGTCTGTTTTCGTACATTTTTTGCTGAACCATAAATTAAGTGTAAATATATTTATATATGCATATCTATGTACTTAGTAGCGATAGTCTCTTTGTATGTGTTGTTTTATTACGGTTTTACTTCCTAAAAGCTACTTCTGTTATAACCATATGCTAGCCGTTTGCTATTCTGCTTAAAATTACTGAATTTGTTGGTAAAATCTGTTTAATGCCAATTACAATATACATCCTTTTTATTGGAGATATGGACCTAAAAGTGATTAATTATGTGAGTAAATTTAGAAATAACTTTTGGGGCTGATGGTCCATAGGTCCTGCAGTGGTATTCCTTGGAAAGTTAAGGTGTTAAAATAAATTACATGAATAAACCCCATATTAGTCCTTAATGAACACCGTGGCTTTTGAACAGATAGCCAAACTGCACATAAGATCCATCTTTCGCCTTAAATCCCCGTTTTGTTTTTCTAAATCGATTATAAAAGTTTCCAGCGATTCCGTAAGCTCTTCTATCACCTATCTTAAGAAATGCTTTAAAATCAAATGATCAAATTTAATCTACAGCACTTTGAAGATCAGCCCTTCACTCCTCTCTTTTGCAAATTTAGGTCCAAAAACCGACAAGGAGTGCATGACTTTATTAGCAATACCATCAAGTTTCTTCCATATTATACTGGTGTGCATGCCCATATTTTCGGCAAACCTAGCGAAGTGCCTGGCATTGATATTAAATGCCTTAACAAATGTGTGGTAAACTCAAAAGCTTGGTCGATCTATGAGATCTGGTGTTGCGTTTTAAGAAGATTTAGCATCACAAAGAACCAACATTCACAGCTGTCCAAGTGAATTCCAGTGATATTTCTAGCGCGAGGATTAACTCTACGACCTAACCCTGAGCAGGATCCAAGTGGCTAACAAAATTGTACTTAGGGATTCATTTGTTAGTAAATACAATTATTTTTAAATGAATTTGGTATTCTCAATTCAAGTTATTGTAAGTTACACTATTTAAAGAGACATACTTCGCAATAGCTCTCAATAAGTACTGAGTGAAAGCTATTCTCCGACATTTTACTTACTTTTGATAAAGATTTTGCAAAATCATTTGATTTAGAATCCTTCCATATAGTTTCCATAAATTATTATTACTAATGTATTTTTCTAAGCTTTTTGTAAGTTCCGCAGAGATTACTTTAGCCGTCAATGAAAACTTTTAGTCGAAATGACTCAGAGTATACATACAAATTTGCTTCTAAGCAAAGAGAATAGATAAAATTTTTGTGTTCTGACAAGCTCAAGTTCAGTTATGAACCTGGCAAATAGTGGAATATAAATATTATATTTTAGTTGTATGGTTCTCATTACTAAATTTATACATAAAGACGAACTCAATACTATTGACATCATTGAAGGGTTAATGAAATTTTCTTCGTCTCTTAGAATTATAATAACGTGTTTGACGGATTATTTTTTTTAAATAGATAGATAACAAAGAATTTTGTTGAAAAGAATTGTAATGGTTTCAGATTTTTTATTGATGGCAACATAAACGCATGGATACAATGCTTGATTACCAAGCGTGAGATCAAAGGTTCACAACCCAAATAAACTAAGATCCGAAAAAATTAAAATTTTGCGTGTAAAATTTGTGCGAATATCTCCATAAATATAATATATAATGACAGACCAATTATTTATGCTAGTGGCTACTGGATGCCCATAAACTACAGAAAAGTACGGTAAATATTGAATTCGAATGATGAAAATAGAACGAGACTGATAAAAATATGTGGCACTGGTGTTCACTGATGCTAATGTGCAACAATTTCGTCAAAATTATAATCAAAACTTCACATTCAACTGCAGTCACAACTACGTACATGAGGGTTATATAGAAGTGCAGTTTTCGACATAGCATCACGTAGTATGATACAAGTATGCTTAATTTATAACGGAACAGTTATCAAGACAACAAAAAATGGCGAATGTAAGAATTTTTATAAAATATTGCTCGTTATTTAAGCTAAATATATGACGCAGAGGTCAGCAGTGTTGAAAAATTCCCTTATACTTGAGTATATAACTATAACGGTACAAATCTACTAGACAAATTTTTGTGTTTGCGCAGAAAAAAAGTAATCAGATAGTTATCTACTCATCATCTTAAGCTTATTGCTTATTAAAAGCTACTAATCAGTGTTTTGAAGTAGAAATTTCATTAAAGAAGCCGAAGAAAGACGCCAAAAAATGCATGCAACAAATCTGCTGATGCAGCACAAAATTAAAGAAATTGCAAAAAATTAATTGCAATATAGTCAGGCACACAAATATATGTTGTATATACAAGTATGTAAGAAGCGTGCGTGTTGAAATAAATCAAAGCAAAGAGCTGAAATTTTATGCATTTTTATGAAGATTTGTATGGAGTTAAACAATATAATTTTTTCACTTTTATTTAAATAAGTTCATTATTGAATATAATACATTTTTTTCGCATTTCTTTTGCGCTGCTTTTCTTTTCAATTTCAGCTGCTTTTACCGTGTGGCACTGTGTCATTGAAAACCGCAAATAAATTGTGACGACCTTGATACTACTCGCGCATAGTGTTAGCTGCTGAATTGATTGCCGCTTCAGCTAAGTACTACTAGCCTGTATGAGCGTACGTATGTATTCACATAATTGTCTTCTTACACCCAATTTCAATTGCTAAATGTCTTCAGCTTTGTTTTTCTATTTTGCGCTAGATTTTATTTAAATATTTAATGCATAAAATTTTAAACTCGTGGGAGGGTTTTTAATTAGACGCATTGTTGAACTATTTTACTTTACTATTTTTGTTGTGTTAAGTAGTTAACATAACACCTAGCGTTATAAAGGGTTTTCCAATGAATTCAAGTACTTTTTGCATCAAATCAAGTCGTATGTTATGTATAGCACTTTCAATATTGACTCTTTAAGTTTGAAGAGAGTCTGCTTTATTGCTAAAGACAAATGAATTGAAATAACTCTACAAGAAGTAGTCTAATGGTGTTAAGTCACAAGTTCTTGATGGCCATTCAATGTTACAATTTTTTGAAATTATCGAATTTCCAAACTTTTCTCGCACTAATTCGTTTGTTGCACGTGTTATGTGGCACGTAGCCCTTTTTTGTTGGAACCAGCTGTTTTCAAGATCAACTTCTTCCAATTGCGGCTAGAAATTTAATTATATAATTATCATCCATCTATACCGCCCTCCATTGACAGCAACGGTGGCACCTGGCAACTTCATTTCGAAAGAAGTACGGACCGATGATTCCACCAGACCAAACACCACACCATACTTTCAGTTTAGGTGAATGTAATGTCTGTTCATGAATAATTTGTGAAATTTCTTCGCAGCAGAATCGACAGTTTTGTTTATTTACCGCACTACTCAGCTGAAAGTGAGCCTCATCGAAGATGGCAAAAGCTCCCAAAAAGTTGCAATTGGATAACGATTATTTTGTTAGTAAAATAGAAAAATGTGTAAATGTTGTTCTTGCGTATAGCTTTCGACAATGAAGTTGTAAACATTATTGAATACAATGAAAAAAAATTACGCATAATTACATA